TTTTTCCTCACATCCAATCTAAACCTTTTTCCTCACATCCAATCTAAACCTCCCCTGGCGCTAGGAAGTGCAAAGGAGCAGCGGCTGGGTTGCTATCAGCTGCGTACAGCCCAACTCCTCCTTCCAACCACTTAAAAATCTTTGCTATGAAAGAACCACTGTTCATCACACCTTCATTTCACAGAAATAACACAACTTTTCCCATCACTGACAGAGGGTATTAAGGCCTTGGGTTTCTTTTCGGCCTGTAAAAGCATTGATAGTCTTTGGCAGAGAGAGTGTCACACACTGGGGATCCCCATCAAAAGGCTGGACTCTCTTTTTTGCTGCTGCAGGGAAGTATTGCTATTTTCTCTCCCCCTTACAGTGGGACAGGCTGGACAGCAGATCTTCTGCAGATGTATGACAATAGCAGCATCTCTGCAATCCCTTGGAGCCCTGCTTTCCTGCAGACTGAAACAAGAGTGGCCAACAAGATGTCCTGTCTGACAAAGGAAAAAACCTTACTCCAGTACAGGCTTCATCTGCCCAGCATGACACAGCCTTGCCAGATGAGCCATGGTGGTAGGAGGAGTTCACCCTGCTGCCCCATCCCTCCTGCAGCACAGGGAGAAGGGAGAAAGCAGCTCCTCTGTACTATGACTCTCTCTGCTAGGCTCTCTCTTAGGTCCACCTGCAACAGTCATGTTTCAGAGCAGCCCTGAGCAGGTCCTAGCAGGTGAAAAGGAGAGGAGAATAGAGGAGAAGTGGACAAGCTTTGCACACGCAGAGGTACATACCTGAACCGTGGTCTCTGCAGGCCACCCGCCCCACCCACAGGAACGCAGAAGCTGATGAAGCACTACACATGGAAAGAGGAGAACAAACCATTTTCTTTGCCTGCTTGCACTGGACTCTGCTACAGAGTGACTGTTTATTACCTCTCCAAGAGGGAGCAGGAAGCTCTGGTGTACACACACATACTTAGCAGCTTTAAAAATGGGGGGGGATCTTCTTTCAGATTTCAGAAACACATACACAAAGGCACACACTTCACCTCCATCCAAAACAGTTACTGAAGTTGTTTTACACAACTGCTGCTCCACTTGGAGAACTCCAACCTCTCCCCCAGCAGGGCATCTCGTCCCCTACCTGGGCACGATCCCTGTGCTTCCTTCCACATTCTCTTACACAGCAGCCAGAAAGACTCTCACAGCCTGCCACTGCCTGTCCTCACTGCAAGGCAGCTACTTCCCGATTTTCAAGTGGGGCATGGTGGCAGAGCAGGCAAAGACACATGGTGACAGGGATGCATCCAAGAAGAGCACAGAGCAGCCTTGCCAGTGACATTTGGGAACACACAGACTTTTTCATGAAAAAATAATAAGAATTAAAAATAGGTCACATATTCGTACTTATCTTGGAGACTGGGGAAGGCCAGAGATGGAGTTGACTGTTCCAGATATGAAAGAGGCCCCCTGCTTTCTCCTAGCCCTCTGACACAAGGCTCACTACTGCACCTCCACCCCAGAAGAGTTCACAGGAATGGAGAGCTGCCCCAGAGGAACATCTGAAAACATCTCCTACAAACTCAAGGGTCAGAGAAACTCCAAAACCTTCCCATACCCCTCCACCCCCAGTCAGCCGGCAGCACATCTGGGAATCCATCTTCTTCCTCACCATCCAGCTCCAGGGATGCATCCAGCTTCACTCCCCTCCTTGCATGTGCCCAGTGCCTGTCACAATGCACAGACCCCACATGCACAGCAGGCAGCACCTACTGCAACCCTGCATGGGGCTGCATGACAGTCACAAGCTAATGTGCCTTGGGTTAAACCCAGGCAGTTGGCAACAGCAACCAGCAGAGCTTGTCTCCAGGACAGGCAGAGAGGTGCTGTGAAGTCTGTATTAAGCACCACACCAGGCCTTGTGAGCTCAGGTCATTGTCCGCCGTGGAAGTGACAGGCCCCCGAGTGGCGACAGCAACAGCAGCAGATGAAAGGAGGGTGGCTGGGAATTAGGATTTTTTTTCTTAGACTAACCAGCTTCTTGGCTTCAAAAGCGTCTCGCTCATCTCGAAGTTTCTTGTTCATCTCTCTGCTCCAAAGGAAGACACAGGAGAGACACAATGAATCACTTATCAAAAATGGAGTAAAGACCAACATTTGAAAGCTAGAACACAAAGGGAGCTTGGGACACAGATAGAGATGTTATTTATTGCCAGGCACATTGGGATTTCCATGTATCCCAGCTCAGGTAATGGGCTCCACATGGTCCCCTTAGCCAGTGGGAAAGACTAAATTCCTTCAGCGGAGGGATTACGTGGTGAAATAACACAGCCTGTACTCTGCCAGAGCTGGCCAGATTGCACAACTCTGTCTGGACCTAGAAAATCAAGCAGTGTTTGAGCACTGCTTGAATACACTCCCATAGCTTTCTGCGGGAGAAACAAGCACAGTGCTGAAACCTCAGCCCCTTACATGCACAAGAGCTCAGCATTTCCCCCCAGCCCTTTTCTTACCTGAGGAGCTCCAGCTGCCGAAGGAGGCTTTGTTTCTCTTTCTGCATGTTCTTGGAGACTCTAAATACATCCCTGGGCAAAGGGGATTTTAAAAGGGGAAATAAGTTAATGGGAGAGGAAATACAAAGACCCGTTTTTCAGGGGCACTCATGGTATTCTCAAAGATAAGGGCCTGCCCTATGCTAGGAGGATTCAGAGGAAGCAGCACTGCTGCAGGAGCTGGGATCGTACCCTAGCTCTCCCGCTCTCCTCCAACGTGAGGACAGGCAACCCATTTTCTCCTTTCACACTCCAGTTTTCTCAGCTCTTAGAGATGGGAAGGATGCTCACTGCCATCTGGATCTGAAACATCCCATGTTTCAGCTAAGTATTATTAGATTAAGCCCAGAAACAGGAACACAAGTGATTAGAAGAGGATCTGTAGGAACTTTATAGAGGTGATAGTGAACTGGAAAATACATGGAGGAGAAGCCTCCTTTAGGCTGAGGAACTTCTGTATTTTTTACAGTGCTTTTCTAGCCAAATATCAATTAACATACTCATTTCCCACTAAAGGCAGGTGGGAGCTAGCAGTATCACTCCCTGTTTAGGCCCATAAGACCCCTAGGATGTTAATTCTTTTCCTCAAGAAGAGACAGGCAACCCTCTGATGAGACCAAGGCTTCTAATTGGAAATCCTTACTCTTAACTACTTGCCCACCTCTCCTTCTCTGCCTGGGTCCCTGTCCTGACACCCCCTTCCCTACCCATCCCCACCTGTCCTTCTGCTCTTGCTCAAGCTGAGCCTCTTTCTGGAGCTTCTGTAATTGCCCCTTCACAGCCTCCAGCTCCCATTTGCTTTTCTCCAGCTCTTCCAGCAGGTTTTCATTCAGGTGCCGGAGCCTTTCATTCTGCACGCGGGTCTCCAGCTGCTCTGAGTTCAGGGACTGTAGCTGATGTTCCAGCTGCAATGGGAGAGGAGGAGGGGTTAAACACAGAGAGGAAGGGTTTTGTGCTACAATCATGCCTGTAAAAACAGGCTGAAAAAGCAGACGTAAACAACGAGGCAGAAGGGAGGTAAACACAACTTAGGCCTACAGGACCACCAGTGGCACTGAGAAGGCGAACTGGAAGTAATTATTTCTCATCATGCCAGCACAGGGGAGCAAGCAACGCAATTAGTCATGCATAGCTGAGGAAGCGCTTCAAGCAGCGTGAGGAGCTTGCTGCTATAAGGCATTGTAGAAATCAGAGTGCAAATGAGGGTCAAAGGAGGACTGGAAAAATTTGGGCGGAAGCAGGAGTGTGTCTGTCGGGACTTATTAAGCACAGTTGTTGAAATGCATCCTCTAGTTTGGGGGCTTCCTGAGCCCATGGCAGCTGAAAGGGGGATATATCGAGGTGCTAGGGCATCTCACACTACACCTGGAAAGTCAAGTGATTGGGTGGCCTCTACTACTGTTAGAGACAGGACCTCGGGCTAGAGATGTTGTTTAAATGCCACTGAGGCCCAGCTGCACTCTAGGCAGCACAAGACCCTAGCACAAATAACAAGCATGATTTGGGAAGTTTAAAGCCTGCTGTCATGTACTCAACCAGTGATGTGATTCCTCACAAATGGCTGGTGGAGTCTGGGAAAGAGTCAAAGACAGAGGCAGCAAACCTGCCCATCTCAGATGACAAGTAGGGCATCGCAAGAAGGATCATACTGACACTTCAGTATCTAGCCAGCCATACCAGCTAACCAGGGCCCTCTGCTGAAGCTGGTGCTATGCAGCAACTGTGGTACCCATCTGAGAACTTACAACCCCCAAATAAAATTACACAATCCATGCTTGCAACCAGAGAGGAGCCCCAGGAACCAGTTCTGACCAGTGTAGTAGGTGGCAGTCAGCCTCCACATTTATACCTTCAGCTTGCCTTTTCTCTCAGCCTACCTTCTCCCCTTCTCAAAGGGCAAGTAAAGCAGCACACTGTGGCACAAGATAAAGTGCTTTTTTCTTGCTACCCTGCTTTCTGCCAGCACACATGTACAACAGTCGTGAGCAGGAGTGAACAGAGCTGACCTTTCCTAGGTTCCTTGAAACACAAACCCCACATCTCTCCCCGCTGAGGTTACAAGCACAAGCCACACCCAGCTTTGTCTGGAGACTTCCAGTCCTTTGGACATCAGGAAAAATTTGAGCATGACCACACATGCTGAGCAGTGGAGTTGAGACTAAGAAACAGCAATCCCAGCCTTTGGACCTTTCAATAAGCCAGGGGACAGGCTTTAAGTAAAGCACCTGTCCCTCCCTAAGAAATCTCTATCACACACAACTCTCCTGTTCATGTTGTCTGTACTTGGAAGCGATACTGTAGAATAGCACGATCACAATACTGGTCTTACACCACAAGGGGGACCTCATTATCCACATAACTCGGAGGCTTGTACTAAGCTAAGAGCACCAGAAATGTCCATTCGAGTAAGACTTAAGTGTCCATGTAGCCCAGTACTCTGCCTTGACCCATAGCAAGAGGAGATGCTACTTAGGAAGAGCATGCCTGGACATCTAACTATGGTCCATACACCCCCAGCATCTATGGTCCCTGGACTAGGAATGTTAGAGGCCACATCCCTGACTATTCCTCCTTTTAATATGGAGGAAAATGACGTCCTCTATCTTATTCTCAATATCCTTCCTCATGGCACCTAAGTTTTGCTGGCTTTTCCAGCTGCTGCACAATGAGCTGATGTTTTCAGAGAAGCGCCATTTCATCCACATCACAGCTAGGATACCCCCAGTCACCAGCATCTTACAGGTACCTCCCATGATTTGTTTCCGTGGGGGTCACGTCTCAGTTCTTCAGACAAAAAGGAAAAAGATATCCAGAATGGATCATCCCATACAAATGTCCATGCCAGGGATGGCAGGCTAAAGGAGAGTTTCTGCTTTGATCTTTCCTGTGACAGATTAATCAGTATGTCATTAGGTGCTGAAATGCACATATACAGTACGTACAGCTCTAAGTGTCACAGAACTGTTCACTCTGGGTTATTCTGGAGCAGCCAGAAAACACAAACTAGGGAAATTTGGCTCTTTAATGTCCATACACAGCTTTCTTACACACCACAAAAGGCTCCAAACTCACAACTTCCAAATTTTTACCCCGTCTTCCTTGCCAAATAGTTATTGTACAACTGATAGGAAGATTGTGCCAAGAGAAAACAAAGCAGATAAGAAAATGCGTGGAGAAAACATTCACAGGAAGACATTACAGTTGAAGACAAGCCAATCACTTGACAAAAACCACTTCACCATCTTCAGAGACAGGAGAGAACTAGACCAGCTAGTACCAGACCAGCTAGTACCACCCCTCAGCAGATGAAAACCATTCTCAGTGAGAAAAGGTCTTAGCAGAAAGACAGTAGAAAGGGATGTGTTTCTTTAGGAAGGATTTGGGTCCTGTTACCTTCTTCTGGCGGTAGAGGATTTTCTCCAGCTCCTGCTCTTTGCTGCGCAGTTCCTTCTGCAGCAGGTTACTCCTGTCATGTCTTAGTGCTTCCTGCAGAGGTAAAGATACACAGCTGTGTGTTGTGATACAACACCCAGCACGGTAAGAGCTGTTCCTTGGCCAGAAGAGCCACCACCTCTGCTTCAGACCAGAGAAAGTTTGACTTCAGCCAAGAGAGATGAGGTACCTGGCAGATCAGCCTCTCCCTTTCTGCTTTGATCTGTTGCTCCATTTCTTCATAAAGGCACCTGACTTCTCGGTCGTGGTCTGTCTCCTTCCTACAAAAGGCAGGGTGCACACAGGTCAGGAGAGAGAAAGAGAATACAGAAAGAAAACAGGAGTGGGAGGGTGGAAACACATTCCCACTAACAGCTGTGTAGCATTGAGTGGGATTTTAACCAGACCAAATGTTATGGGTGGGCACTGATGCAAAACAAACCCATGGGGATCAGATCAAGTTAAAGAGTAATTTTATTACAGCAAGAAAAATCTCTGTAACCCAGTCTCTCCTTGCATTTGAGGCAGCATCCAAGCATCAGCTGGTTCCTGACAGCAAACGGCCATGATGTTCTCCTTACCGCTTCAATGCCTGTTCCATAGACTCCTTCTCGTGATTCACCTCCCTTATGTATGATGAAACACGCAACAGAAACTCTTCAAAATTGGATAAGAGCTCCGGACGCTCCTTTCGTAGCCGAGCCCAGAGCTCCCGAACCTCACGCGGACTGGAGCAAGAATACAAGAGGGAAGGAAAGTAAATGAGTTTCTGTGTCATCTTATGGACTGTTATTCCAACTCCAACATGCACTCAGGACAGACAAACTGCCCTTCTCCTGTGATGACCTCCATTACACCATCATAGCAAAGATGGGAGTTGGACAGTGACAGAGCATGCATGTGGAGTGAGATCTACTGCAAGGTTAAAATAACGGAAGTCATCTGAAAGCGGAAAAGTCTAAGAAGCAAACCTGGAATGATTATTTTTCAAGTATTCAGCAATAATACATTTGGTGTCTAAACCAAGACTCGAAGAGATGAACATTCAGCACATTTGCTGTGAGCTATGGTCGAGCAGCAAACTGTTACAGCCCAGGGATTTTAGCACACATCACACAGGTGTTGTTCTCATACCAGGACTGTACTGGTGGATGCTACTGTCCTTGTTATTTATTTATTTTACAAGTTTGGAAACTGAGGCACAAACAAAAGAAGCAAATTGCCCAGGTGTCACATCAGGATAATAATGGAGAAAGACCTAGAAACCCAAAGTCTTCTTTTTCTGAACCTGCAATAATGATTACACTGTTCCGGCATTTAATTCATTGCAACTTGAACACAACTCTTCCCCAACGAGTCTTATAAGCCTGCAGATATCACTTCATGCTTCTTTTTGGAGAAGAGCTTTTTATTATTATTATTTTTAATTTTTTTAAAAATCCATGAAGTACTTTGGAGGAACTGCCTTGAAACATACAGAATAATTATACCTATAGATATTATCCAAATAGGTATTTTTCTTTGTCTATGTATTTGTCTCCCTTAATAGTCTTCGTGAAAAAACCAAATGAAAAACCAAAGAAAAAGCCCCTGATTCCTCCTGCCACCATTGCATGATAGCCTCCTTTTTCTGTCCCAAGTTGAAGAAGTTACTAGCACTTCATCAAAACTTTGTGTTTTAGGTAACAGAACATATTGAGTCCCATTAATAAGCAAAGCCATTTCTTTCTAGCAAAACCAGTGAAGATAGTTCAGATTCCTGCTCCGACCTCAATTAGCTTCTGCTTTATATTATTTCTTTACAACAACTGGCTTGGCACAAGGGCGTGACATGACTGAACTCATTGCATAAAACTGCAAGTAAGTGGTCAAAATAAAACACAGGATAATTCCACTTTAAGACTTGATGCTTCTCAAAGCAGAGTTATAAACAGCAGAGGCTATTTTTCCAGAACAGCAATATGGCCTTTCACAGAGTCATTCCATTATTTGAGGCATAACAGCTTTCCAGAATTTTTCAGGCCAGAAGTTGTTTAGCATTAAAAGAAACATGCAGGTGCTTCACATCACAATGCAAGTGAGACAAAAAAAAAAATCTGTTTCATTACAGATACAGCTCTGAAAGCAGCAAACTCCTTCACTCTCAGCTTCTGTCTCCAATCCTGTCCATCTCCTGCCCCTACCTGGGCTGCTCCCTGCAAATTGGCAGCACTGTTGGACTACGATGCCTGAAAAAAAGGGCTGCCACAGATGCTGTTGGGCACCCCAGCCCCAGCAGATATGCATCAGTAAGAACCAGTTATGCATAATGCTTCATTTGGGAAGGCCCTAAAAAAGAAGGCTGGATGACACTGGGGCCAGCAGACTCTACTGGGGCCACATGCAAGGGCATTAATATCAAATTTCAAGGCTCAGGTGAGCATCCCTTGCCCAGTTTAGCCTTTCACACTCTTCAAGATCAGCCCAGTCCCAAATAGCCCCTTGAGCACAGATCTTGTCACAGAGACTCTTAGAACTAAGGTTGACTGAACATATGTGAACAGTCACCCACCATTTTGGAACAGACAGCACACTCATCCTCCTTACCTTGTCTAACCCTCACATGCTTCTTTTCATTTGCTGCGTGCAGATGGGCTTCCACGCCACCAACTGCTACATTTTACAGCTGTGGTATGAACTCTAGTTTGGGAAACTCTTTGCGAAAAGTACAGCACTAAAAGCAATTGTAAACTCATGAGAAAACCCAGACTTCACTGCATTTGTTACCAAACATATGAAAACCCAAGCCAGCAGTACAGAAAGTCCAAGCAGTGCTTCAGAGAGCAAGCAGCTCAGTTCACCTCTTTGGTCTTTGCTGGTACTTTGAAGTTTTGGTATTGCAAGATCAAAACAGGGTAGAAGTAATGCCATGCAACTCCCCTACTTACTCTTCAAACATGTGGGCTGCTCCGAGCTGCTTCATCATAGAACAGAATCGTTTCTCTTCATCATCATCTGCCGGGTCCAAGTCATCCGACCAGCCTGACTCAAAGGTCTCCTCGTGTCTGGAGCGATCCATTCTCCCAGCCCCTTGACAAAATTCAATCCCTATCAACTTTCCTGGTGGAAGGAGAAGGGAAGAACGATAATAAGGAAAGTCAAATGAGATGTCATTTAATAAGCTGCTATTTAAATGGCAGCCCGACAGAGCTCCATAAGAAGCTGCCTGCACGCTGCTGGTATAGAATACAGCTCCTGGTCAGTAAAGAGCCTCCTTTCTGACATCCTGAGTGATGTCAGCATCCAGTCTGCAATGCCGGGACTGAAACTGGCTCCCAGCCCAACAACAGGCTGTTAGGGCTCTGCTCACATCTGCGTGAAGATGATCTACCACCCATGGCCTCGGATTCTCAGCATGTGAACCATGCGGCATTAGGTCACTTCACTCCCATGGAGCGGCGCTGTGGATTCAGTTGCCAATGATCCCAACAAGCTCCCTCTGGGACTGCAAGCCTGGCACCGAATAGCACCTTGCCTCAGTTCCCCAGCTGACAAAAAGTGAGGAGGAGCTTATTACCCTTTCCTTCTCATGTGCTACATCTGTTCTGATTCAAGTGCTGTGGGACAAGGCCTGCCTCTTGCTAGGATTGTATAGAGTGTCTGAACAAAAGGCACTTACCCTCTGAACACCCCCTCCTGCCCCATCCCACGTACAGATGGCTTCCAGCTATCTGGATCCTGTTTCATGCTGAGACACTAATGCCATGAGAACTTCATGCTATGCAAGGCATGTGACAAATACTGGTGCTGGGAACAAATTCTTCTCAAAGAAACAAATAAAGTGATCCTATCCAAAACGCAGGCCCCCATCCTGTATACAGAGGTCAGACCTCCATTAGCAGCTACTCTTCCTTTCCAAAACATATCTGCTTGGTTTAAAAGGCAGAAGTGACATCCCAACTACAGGGCCAGGAGCCAAGGATGTTCAGAGCACGGATGAGGGTAGCAGCACATGAAGCTGCTCTAAGGGGAAAAATATCCACTATTTGTGTACCTCAAGTCACTTAACTTGAGCACTTCTTAGCTCTGTATGTCCAGAACCTAGCTGCTTCTCTCCCACTCTCAAAATGCGCTGTAAAAAAAGCTTGCAGTGTGGAGATATAGGCCCTACCCAGCTTAAAACCAGAGGCTTGGACAGTTAATTAAGGAGATGGGCTTAGATTAGGCACTTTTAGATTTAGGCACTCTGCTTTAAAGAAAGAGTCATTATCTCTCGTTATCTCTTTTACAGCTGGGAAAATGAGAATGGTAGAGAATGATTTGAAGATTGTTTTGACATCCTAGAAGGATTTCAGATTGCTTTAAATTTAACATTTTAAACATATTCTCTTCTGTCAGTTGTGCAGCTGCACCCTGTAACCTCTCAGAGGCCATGCAAGGAGTCCTCTCAAGAAGCAGTTGATTGCAGCTTGAACCGCTTCCCTTGATTTCCCCCCTGCACGCTCCAGAAGACAGCAACGTGCCAGGCCAAACTCTTGAGTTAGGGGCAAAGTCTGAAAAGGATTTTCAATGAAGCCAGACACAAAGAGCAGCCATAAAGAAAAGAAATGCAGAAATGAAATGTTTTGCCGAGACTGGAGCAAGGAGCCAGGCTACCAACACAGGGTGGTACCTTACAACTGGTGGCTGACACAAAGAGAAATCTTGCCTACCTCTGCCAGCAATGGCACTGAGGCAGGTACCCTCATGATGTCCATTTATGGCTATGGCTGTGACAAATGCCTCAAACAATGAGATTTGGGAATAACCAAGTCATAACACAGAGGGCACTGTGGATGCCAAGGTGCCCAAATGGCACCCATTCACCTTCTACACAGCACTGGGCAGGAAAGCCTATGCTCCCGAGACGACTCTTGTTTCTGGCAAAGGCAGCAGAACCAGCCAACGAGGCTTCACCCCCACAGGCAGGGACACAAGGCAGAAACAGGCAGAGTCAGCAGGCACTCAACGGGTTAACACATTCCCAGAACAGGCTGGCCCAAGACACAGCTTTCCATGTTTATTCTGAGGAAATTTTTACAGCTTGTCCTTTCAGGGCTGGCTGTTTCTGGCCATTCAAATTGAGGCACTGAAAAGACCCCAAGTTTCTCCAAGTTGTGAGAAAGCCATGAAGCAACCATAATCTGAGCAATCAGTACACCACAACTCAAGAGCCTCCTCAATCACTTCTGAAAATCCTAGACCACCTGTGTTCACTTGCTTTGACCTGATCCCATTAACACACCTACATGTCCAAGGAAGGTGCTAACAAGGTGCAGATTTTCTGAGAGCTTACAACCAGCTAAGGCAAGTAAGCACCCACAGCAAGGTTATTAGTGCCATGGTCATTCCTCCTCCTTAACACCTCTTGCACTGCTTGTGCTGCTAGATGATGACTCTGGTATAGGATTAGCATTCTCCTAGTGTTTGGAAAAGGCAACAGCAAGAGGAAAACAAAAGTTCATTTGCCAGTGTGCTAGCCTACTAACAGGACTCCTACTAATATCCTTGAACAGCACTGCATTAAACCAGCTGGGCACAGTTGCCAAGAGGCATATTTCTGTCCCCTCATCCAACGAGGGTCCTTATCCAGATGAACAACTGTGGATCAATCACATGGCCAGATACAGGCTGCAGTATGTACCATCTCCAGCAGGAGATGTTCAGAAGCCGCCTCTACCATGTAAGCAGGTAACAGTTGTGGAAGAAGGCAACACAAAGCCTCAGGAAGGGGGATAGCAGTATTGCACACACACCTTCTCCAATCATATTCACATAAGCAGGGGGCATTGCCCTGCATAGCAGCTTCAGCAGAACCACTGCACTTTCCTTCTTACCAACATAAAACATCATGTCACAGGTGGGCTTTTTCCTTCCTCTGCCTCTGTGCAGTCCTTACCTAGTCCCATGCTGAACTCCACAGGCGTCAGGAATCCGTTATTGTTCTGTTCCAAACTGTCAAAAACAGTCTCCAGCTGTTCAAGGGTTAGGGGGAGTTCACTTTGGAGCTGCTGCAGAGACAAAAGAATGAACAAAATTAAGACATGACTGAAGTCTTCCCTGTGACTAGCTCCTGTCCCTGCTGTCCTCAGCTTTGGCCCACAGCGATGTGCCCTTCCTTTCAGCACTGCATCTCGGCTGGGATACGATAGCCTGCCAGTACAGCTGAGTGATGACACAAATGCCTGTTTGGACCCACTAATACGGCAATGCTTTCCATTACTGGATGATTCAACCAGGACCGCAGAGAGGGAGCTTTGGGTTATTTTGTTTGGAGGGAGCTCAACCCTCTTGACTTCAGAACCGCTGCCTCTAGTTCACTGCCTGCCTCCCTCCACCCCTGCCCAAGCCCTGCCCAAAGGTGGCTGCCCCCTGGGGCACTGCCAGCCTCCTGTGACCACTGCTGCTCCCAAGAGAGCTCTGTATGGGCACATCAGGTACCACCTCCATCTCTTTAGCCAGAGAGGGAGGACAGACTTGTGGGTGTCTGGATTCAGTTCCCAGCTCTTGCAGAAAACCTTGCAGATCATAAAGAAAACATTCAGTCCGTAACAGAGAGTTAGCTTTCTTCTGTCATCTTCTGCCTGTTGGGACCATATCACTATTCACACAACACAGACAAGGTGCAGAGAGATTTCCCTTCATAATACATGTGTAGAGCACCTTGTGTGAAGGGGCACCCAAAGAAGCTTCCAAATAACAAGAAGTGTAGATTAAAACCTCACTACTGTCCATTAAACATGCAGCTTTAGATAAAAGCTTAATAAATATTTATTAATGTAACTGTACAAAATTAGGCATCACACAACCCAAAACAAACTGAGCCAATAATTAAACCAGCATGGACCTGCAAAGTGTTAATTATAGATGGAGGGAGAGATTAGACAGAAGAAAAACAGTCCGTGTGTAACCTTCCTGATAAACCATTAAAACAAAACTCACAAAGACCTATAGAGGTTCTGTTAACAAATACTGGTTTTGACAGAAAGCAGCAAAACACATTATTCTAGAGCAAAGTTATAGTTCAGGCCTGAAGTGAGTTTTTAAGATCAGGCTTTAGCTGTGATTGAGACAAAAAAGTTATACAGCTTTTTTTGTTAAGACATTGGTGGATTGTTTTCGTTGTTGACTGTGTTGGGGGGGGGGTTGTTGTTTTGTTTTTTTTAAATTAAACAAAAAAATTTTTCCCCCCAGATTTCCCATCAACTGCATGCTTATGTTTGTAGGAACTGCTGCAAATTTTGTTGATTTTATGCATTCCTTAAAAATTTGGAATTGCAGTCCCACTTGTCCCAGGAATTCCCTGGAGGTCTAAGGCCCTCCTGGGATTTTTTGGTTCCTAGCAGCTGGCTGTGGCAGAGTTTGGCTCCCAGAAATCTGAATGAGACAGAGCCCACATGCACACCCATGCTTGCCAAAACTAAAAGACATGCCACATTCTCCCCTCTTCTGCCACCCATTACTTTACAGCTCCTCCCAGGAAAGGGGAGGGATTTTTTCCCCTCACCTGCATATCCACCTTTGTGATAAAACCCTTTTCATCCTTGTCACACAGCTGGAAGAGCTCCCTTGCCTTCTTGAGCATCTCCACCTGCACATCTTCCAATTCGCTCATTTGGCTGGAGGGAGAAGCACCAGGAGCCACCCCATCCTCCTCATCCCCTTCCTCTTCTTCCCAGCGGATGTATCCCAAGAGCGCTCCCCTCTGGTTCTCCATCTTCTCAAAGTCTTTTCCCCCAGGGTAGGGGCAAACAGAAGAGCTGCAGGGCAGGAAACAGAGAAATCCCAGTCAAATGTGACCCTACACTTCCACCCCACACATCATCTAGTTATGTGCCTTGTTGGTTTGAAAGAACAATATTCAGCATCTGTATCTGTTACCAAGGGGAGGGGGGGGGGAAGACAGGCAGTGTGCAGAGAGTTTGTGTCAGAGGTACACACCATACATAGGTACACACCATACACAACATGGGTGTAACCAAGCCTACCACACAGCCATAACCCTCCACACTGTGATGGGCTCCAGACCCCGCACCAAGCAACGATGCTCTTTCGCCATCTCTCCTCCTCTGGCTCAGACCTACAGGGCAGTCAGAATTCTCTGCTGGTGAAAGCCAGATGCCAAGGGAAGGTTTCAGAGAAGACGAGAGGATAGGAAAGGAATATTAAAGCATGGAGATAAATCTGCATGGGTGAATGGTGATAGTCCCACATTAGCTGAGACAGGGGGCTCGAACACCACGAGCAGGGCCAGCTCCCAGCTCTCGCACAAGCTCCTTGGATGCCCTGACCAGGATGCTTCTCTCTGGTCTTAGTTCCTCTGGTAACAACACATGCTTTTCCTCCTCCTGTTGCTTTTCTGCACCACCTTTAAACACCAAACCTGCATCAAAACCGCAAGAACCCAGAGCAGGACGAAGGCAGAGAGGAGGAAGATCTGTGCAAGTGATGGAGGAAAAAGAAGAAGGAGTGTCTCTACCAGCCCTCTGCCGCCCAGGTCCCCTGGCTGGCCTTCCACCTCTGACATTTTCTTGTTAATGTTTCCCAAATAGTAACCCCATCTCCTTTCACGTTATTACAGCACAGAGAAAGGTCAGACAATTCCTACACTGGGAAAAATTTAATAAGCTGGGCACTCCTGCCCCCCTTGCCTCCCAGCTCTGTTTTGAGAGCTCGTAAGCTGCCAAACAGAATTTTAATCTGAAATGTTCACCTTTATAGGAAGGAAACCACACGACTATGGAGACATTTCCTAGGCCAAAGAAAATAATTCCCATTGCTTACAAGTACCTAAAACAAAAAGGCTGGGAATGAGAGCACCCCTTTAAACACAGCACTGTGATTGTAAAGATGTGTACAACACATCCCTTACCCCAAACCCACCTTCCGACTTAATGATGCCACGTAACACTCTCCAAATTTTCTTCAGTAACAGCACCACATTTTTTAAGCCTTGTTGCACTGATTGCTTTAGACTTCTACAGATTTGTGTTCTGCATTGTAGGGCAGAAGTGAGCTGTGCAAGCAGGCTGAGAGCAGATTTAAACAGTACTAGACAAAGAGGGCTTGAGACTTGTTTGGGTTTTTTTAATCTCCAAGAAATTAAAAGCCACATACAGATGCTGTGATAACAAACAAGTTAATTCTGTTTGCACTCTTAGTACAACGGGAGGATAAAGAGCATGATGGCCAGGAAGAATGTCACATGCGAGAACTATATGAAGCTGACACAAAAGGAGAAGGCAATTATGCACTATGCTATTTGACTCCGTTTATTACTGCTGGTTCATGAGCCAGAGGGTGGTTCTGCTTCAAAGAACAAGCAGAACGCTTCACTCCCTCTTTCAAATCAATGTTTTTTCAGGGCATCTCTGTTTAGTGTCACTTGAGAAGATACTTATTTGAAACTCTGCGGAAAACTACCTATAAATGGGTACTATTATATGTTTCTAGTCAAGTAGACATCCCTGGCAAGCAACGGACGCAGAGCTGGCCACAAGCTTTGGGGAATACTGCAGAGGAAAGGAGGGAAGAAAGCATGAAAAGCGAGAAAGCAGGGAGCATCTTTCGCTCTTGCTCTTTTTCAAACAAACCCTCCTACCAAGCGGTTTTTTTGTGTTATGGAGCCAACACAGCAAAATTTGGAGACTAAAGCTTGATTCTATCCATTAGGTAGACAGTCAGCTTGCTTCCGATGGCAAGTCTGTATGTGTTAGTAGCAAAGAGGTCGGAAAGAACCCCAGCTTACTTTTCACATTCAAGTAAAAGTTGCAAAGGTGGCCTTGAAAGAAAAAAAAAAAGACCCAAATATCTTATACAGGCGATTACAGCACGGAATCACATAGCCACACTGATGAATTATAATTATTGGCTGCTACAGGCCACCTTGCTGAAGCTTTTTGCCAGACCCTTTCCTTTTGCAAAGACACAGTCTCAGCACAAGCAGCACCTGGTACCAGTGAGTGCAGGCGGCAGCAGGGGAGGAAACGAAATGGGAGTTCAAAGCAAAAGCCACAACAGGATTGCAGAAAACAGCCAGAATAAGCACAAATAAGAAATATGTTTTCTGAAACATCCCTCTAGCTGCCTAAGAGACACTGAGGTCCCCAGAAGTAAAGATGATCTTACTTTCTTGTTAGCAGCTTCATCATTTCTATTTCAAAAGCCAGAGCAGCCCATGCAATGTCTCCCCAGCTCTGCTGCAGCAAACAAGGTTATACGAGGAGGATGTTTGTTCTGTTGTCTCTTGGAGACATATTTGCAAGCTGAAATCGGACCCATTACATCACTACCTCTAGCATCACCTCATTTTATCAAAAGCCCAGCTGTACTGTAGCTCCCAAACTGAGCTAAAAGCCTCTTAATTAGAAGAGCTGGTAGCCTGACATGGAGAAGAGTCTGAAAGGATTTCACTCACATGTAAAAGACCAAGCCCATTAATTCAATGTTCAGAGTGCAGAGTCTCTTGTTCAAGCTGCTTCAAGTGGCTTCAAGCCAGATGTGGCTCTGTCAATGGCGAGACAGCACTTGTGGAGGAACAAAGTGGGAAGAGAGAGCCCCAGTAAGCAAAATACACTGCAGCTCTGATGGACTTCTCTCTCAGGGGCCTTTGATCGAGAAGCTCTTTGTCCCCATCCCTGTTTGTAAGGGCATTGCATGGTATCAATGCGGATGAGGCACAAAGCAGATCTCAGTTTAACAAGTGCTGTCATACCTTCCCCAGTTACAGATCATCACTGCAAACTATTGGGGAAGCAGCTTCATCAGCAAGATGCAGAACATCACTGAAGGACAACTTTGAAAGAGGCTGAGGTCACTACAGTGCTAAAATTGGGGACTGGTACCCAAAAGTGAGGCCAGCAGAGCTGGCTTGGGTGCAGAAAGATAAGCTTGGGAAGAACCATGGTTGCCTGACACAAGTGGAGAAAACAGGGAAGATAGGGCATCTAATACTTTTGGTCAGGCAAACCTGCCAGGCTCCCCCAGTGAGACGTAGCCAAGCCACCTCCAGTGACAAAGCCAGGGGTCATTACCAAAACTTCCTGATAGGATTAATTTTTCCAGGTCTTTTCTGCCAGGACAAGGTAGTCATTGAGTCAGCACCAGTTAAGAATTAATTTCCACACCTAGCCTGGAGTCAGGACAATTTTTGTATGTTGGGCTGTTGATTTCCATCACAAGAACATCCGCAAGGGGTCATGGCAGAGTTCATCTAGCCCAGCATCTTGCCCTCAACAATGGCCATGAATGGCTGGTGAGGGAAGAGTAACAGCAGGGCAAGCACAGAGGTGGCTTCCCTGAGGAGATCTGCCAGCCTCTAGCCACTGTCAGCCTGGGGCAATTCCTGAGCCACATGGTTCCTCCCTCGTCTTCTAAGACACTTGTCCAGCCTCCCTTTGAATCCGTATGAAAACATTCACTGTTCACATGAACGTGCTGATAGAAATGGGGTGCTTGCTGCAATCAGTGGGTGCTGACAAAGCTTCACAGGACTATTTCAGTTTTCTGGGTACACGGTTTGACTAGCATCCACTCCACAAGAGACGAAGTCCCAGCTTCAACTCAGATATGCCACCTTCACGTCTGGGAACCGTGGCAGAGACCAAAAACTGGGCCTGGAAGATCTACCAGCAAGATGGAAGCCAGGGACATGGGGGCATCAGCTGGCTCAAATTGCCCTGGCCAGCCTCAGTGTATAATGTTCTTCTGCAGCACCCTCTTCCCATACCCCAGGGGTTTGGCTGCCTGCGCTCAAGGTCATCTCTGATACTGCACAGTCCAGATTTGGGCAGTGCCCAACATCTGAACAACCTGATACAGAGCTTGAGAGAAAGCCAGTCTTCAGGACCTGTGGATTACACCAGATATCTCCCGCCACGGTGTGTGCTGGGACCCAGCAAGCAAAAATTCACCTGCTCCTGCAAGACGACTTTCCCAGAGCCTGGAAAGCAAACATAGATCTTCTCAGACACAGCACAGAATGGGCAATTCGACTGCCAGTAAATACAGCTAACACCAGGTCTTTTCTGCATTTCTACACAGCAGTAACTCAGACCAGTCTTACGTGCATATTTTGACCACCTGAGGCATAAACTGCAGTTTCTCCTGTGCAAAGGTGTGCCAGAAAGTCAGCTGGATCCCATGGGCATGGCATTCTTTGGGGAAATCACAAGACCTGAATTTTAATCCTGAATCAGCTTGCCATATGGCCCTGGGTAAGTCACATCACCTGCCTATGCTTTTAGATTGTCAACTCCTCCAATTTGATTCTGATACTTGTGACAGCTGGCACTTTATTTTAAGACTCAGTTCCTGGAGACTGACAATTACATGTGAAACTCAAGCATCAAAATAGTTTCAAAGCCTCAAAGGTGAAGAATGAAAAACTTGAACACAGAACTTGAAGAAACTGCAAAGTTCCACAAACAGAAGAACAAACCCAAGGTACTTTTCCTGGAAAGGGGGGATACTACTTTCAAGGTAGCATTACAGTGTCATGGTTTCAAATTTATTGTCTCTGAAAGCTTCTTGTTGTAGCAGTAAGCAGTGTTAAAGAGGTAAAGAAAAGTCATGGCTAAAATGCTATCAACAGCCAAGCCCTTATCTATGTGACCATGACCACCGTGTGCACATGACAACTTTGGGGTGTTTTTTTTTCCCCACAGCCTGATTACAAGGAGGAAAGGAAAGTGGGGAGCACAGCCAAATTTTCTACAACTGGTCCTCAGATGACCCCAGGGCATTGCACACACACTGAATA